CCTCTTGGCGCTCGCCGCCATCGGCGTCGTGCACCTCCTCACGGCGCTCTCGGGGCTCTGGTCGGTGCACGCGCACTGCGCGCTCACCTGCGTGCGGGTGAGTGCGGGGCAGGCAGAGGGAGGGCTGCGGGAACGGCCGCTGCTCTTGGCTCAGGCACCCCCCAGGCGCCCGTCCCTTTCCGGGGCTGTCATTTCCCCCTGCACGCGCGGCCCGTGCTCCTCAGAGCGTCCTCGCCCCTTGCAGGGGCTCTGCAGAATCCCCCCCTGAAAAACAACCTCTTTTCCCCGCATGCCTTGGTGCCACCGGCAGGGATTCATCCTGCTTCTTTCAGGCTCCGTAATTGGTTTTCCGCAGCAAACGCTGTTTGTGTTTCAGGAGCCTAGTCCCAAGAAAGCCACGTTGGCTAAGGTTGTGCCAACCCCGAATAACGGATCCGTCGAACTAGTGCCGCTCCACAGGGATCAGGTGAGGAGGCGGCCGCTGCAGCTGGAATTGGCGCCTGTCACGCGCCTGGGAACTGCTAGTTTGTGTCAGGCTGCAGTTTTTTAGCTTTTAACTGAGGTTTTTAGGGAAAATCGGCTATAGTGAGTCACAGAATCACAGAATAGAGCCATTAAGGTTGGAAGGGACCTTAAGAGATGATCTAGTCCAACCCCCCTGCACACGCAAGGTCACCTAAAGCAGTCACAGGTGGGGAAAGGAGAGATTGCACTGTGTTTCCTGTCACAGAGTGATAGAAGAGCTAGAGATGCAAGTGATTAGTGGATTCCTCTAGATTTTTCCTTCTGCTCAGACTGTGTGTGAAATGAAGCCTTTGGTGGGTGTTCAGTTGCCTGTTTTTTTTCCTCCCTCTCTGCAGGGTGAGGATGGACAGGAGGCCCTTTCGTTTGAGTTCCAGAAAATCAAATACTCCTACGAAGTAGATGGCAAGAAACAGTTCCTTCCTGTAGCTTTCCCTGTGGAGCATCCCCTTTCTTATTACCAGAATGCCCGTGGCTATCAGGAGGACAAAGATATCCGTGCAGCGGAGAAGAAGTACGGTACAAACAAGTGAGTTTTCCAGGGCCTGGATCTCTTTTTGCCGGAGAGGGAGAGATCCCAAGTGTCAGTGACAAAGGTCTTGGAGTGGAAGGACGATCCGTGCTCTTTTTATAAATACTTCCTCCAACCACTTGCTTCCCACGTGTCGGAATCTTCTAAGGACAAAAAACAGGATGGGGCTGTTTCTCCAGCATGGGCTTAGCTGGAAAGCAATTGATCTGAAAAGAGGAGAGAAATTGTATGGAGATATTCTGGAATAAAACCTGATCTCGCAGGAGAGGCTGTAGATGTTTTTGGGCTGGGCTGTTGCTGAGAAGACTGAACTCCAAGGTTAATAAGACTTCAATTCTTTCCCAGGGCTGAGATGGTGGTGCCAGAGTTCTTGGAACTCTTTAAAGAAAGAGCCACAGCCCCATTCTTCGTCTTTCAGGTAAAACAAATAAACAAAAAGAGCTGTAAATCCTTTTCCCTGATAAGAATTCCTTACAGACCTGGTTTGAGAGTCAAAAATCAGCTGATGGCTTTCTAATAGCAAGAGTAGTTGCTGCTTTTTCTGTGTAATTTTGGTGTTTTAGCTGACTGTTGCTGGGACAACCCCGTTTCCTCCCTAATAGGTTATTGTGATTTTCTGTTTTTACAGCTTGATTCAATTGAATACATACCAGTCCAGCTGAAAGCATCCTGAGAATTGAGGGCTTTTGTTTTCTGAGTGAGATGGATGTTAGAATGACTTCCACATCATGTTCTCCTTACCAGGTGTTCTGCGTGGGTTTGTGGTGCCTGGATGAATACTGGTATTACAGTGTCTTCACCCTCTCCATGTTAGTGGCATTTGAAGCTTCTCTGGTCCAGCAGCAAATGAGGAACATGTCAGAGATTCGAAAAATGGGCAACAAGCCATACATGATCCAGGTAATTGGAATCGGAGAGGCAAGAATCACAAAAACAGTGAGAGGTGTCTGAGCAATTTCACAGCGAGCAGTGGTTGATGAGAGAAATGAGAAAGATACTTTTCATTGAGGCAGAATCTTCCCTAAAGGAGGAGAACTTGAAAAGGTAGGAACCAACTCAAAGTCGGGAAAGCAGAGGATCAAAGACTTTGGGCTTTTCCCTGTCCCTTTCTATCAAATCCATTCATTCTGTCCAGTATGTTCTTCATAAATTCATGCTTGTTTAATTTTCTGGTATCTTTTTACAGGTTTAAACGTATTTTCTATTATCTTTTTGTGCTTTTTTTTCCCCTTAACATACGTTTTTTGGTATAACAGTCTTTTTGAATGTCACACTGCCCTTTTTTCCTCATCCTTTTCCCTCTGCTCCTTTTCTACTGCACTGACCCGAGCAAGGTTTCTCAAAAGTGTTTTTTTTTTTTCCCACAGGTTTACAGGAATCGAAAGTGGCGCCCCATTTCAAGTGATGAGATTATTCCAGGGGATATCGTTTCTATCGGTAAGGGCTTGCATGATGGTCATAAATGGATGCTTTTAGCACGCCAGGAGTAATCTGATTTTAACTTCCACAATTGAATGAGGTATTAAATTCCAGTGGTCTTGACCGGATGCTTTTGGAGTCTTCATTTGCTTCAGAGATGTCACAATGTGAGGATCTAAGAACTGATCCTTCAGATGGATCTCTTGGATCTCCTAGCTGTCTTGAAGAAGTGTAAATACTGCCTAACTAGATAAATCAGCCTCAGATTCCTACTTCTGCTGAGGATTTTGAACATGAAGTTCCCTTTCTTTGGCAATATCTCTTAGGAAGGAAAGGGGTAAAGGCAGATCTCTGTCTTACCTCTGTTTTCATTTTTAGATTCTGTTGTCCCAGAATGTGGTTCTGCTGTTCAAACTTTGAATGAAATGTGCATTAAATGACTTGATTTTGGAACTTTCCTGGTTCCTCCAAGCCCCTTTAGTCCCCAGCAGTGCTTTTTGCTGTGGTGGATGGATGCTGTGGATAGACCCAAGCAGCCCTTGAGGGCTTTGTCCTTCAGGAATCTCCTCTGCTCCGCTGAACTGAAGGATATCTGCCCTGCCAGGCAATAGTTATGCCAGCCTCTGGCCTTCTTCTGAGTTTTAATTTCTTAATTGCAGGCCGATCTCCTCATGAAAACCTCGTGCCGTGTGATGTGCTGCTGTTACGTGGAAGGTGTATTGTGGATGAAGCTATGCTGACAGGAGAGTCTGTCCCGCAGATGAAGGTCTGTGTGAAATGTCCTCTACTTGTTCCTTCGTAGCAACCTAGGAAAGTAAAACCATTCAAGCCACTGCATCATTTGCAAGTGGAAATTTGTATCTTTGTGTAAATGCTGGCTCAGGGAACCTGGCCTGGCTGTTACTGTCTCCCTGCCAGTGATTGATGATCTCTGGTAAATGAGAAACACGACGACTGTTTTGCCTGGCTGTTTGTGTAGTCTTTGGGCCTGACCTGTACTGTGTGGGTATGGAATTGCCCTCCTCCACATGCCCCAAACCGGATTCCTTTGGCCAGCCATCGGAGGGACAAGTGTGAAGTACCTAAAACCATAAATCCCACTTGTTTTTGTGCCAGTGGGTGACTTAAAAAGGACAAGGTAGTGCTCCCAGAGCCTCCGTGCTGAATTCAGCATGCCAAGGGCAAACAAGTTGCTTGAAACCACAATTTTCAGAGGTGCCAGGCTCTAAACCCGGGCTGACTGGCAAGTTAACACCTCAATTCAGTTCAGGCCACCTCTGGCTGAAGTGGAGCTGAAAGCAGCTCAGAACAGGATAAAAACAGAAAGAAACACTTGACGTTTACTTGTCGGCAGCTGACTCTGAGCAGGCTTTGAATCTGAGACCTGACTGTTGTTGTGCAGGAGCCTGTGGAGGATCTCAACCCGGAGCACATTTTGGACATGCAGGCGGATTCCCGGCTGCACATCATCTTCGGGGGAACAAAAGTGGTGCAGCACATTCCCCCGCAGAAAGCCAGCACAGGACTGAAACGTATGTACTTTTTTCAAGTTTCCTCTGGGAGGACACGTTGGACACGCACAGATTCATTTTAAATTGCTTGAGGCAACATTTGTAGCGGGTCCCGGGTCAGTCTCCTTGGCTCTTTTGCTAAGAGTTTACTCAATAATTAGTGCAATCTACTGAAGGTGACTGTGTAAGGGTGAAACCTCAAGTGTTTTCTGCCTTGGTTAAGCCCATAAAATCCCTGTGATAAAATTCCTCATCTTATTCCTGCTCCTGTTGCAGCTGTCGATAACGGGTGTGTTGCATACGCTCTGAGGACTGGTTTCAACACATCTCAGGTAAGATCTGAACACGCCTCCTCACTCGTGTCTTGTTAATGATGGTTGCACCATTGAACACTTTGCTGTAAGGAAATCACATACAGCAGTGAGAAAACAAATACTAGGGCATCATTTTTAACTCTTCCAAATTAGCAAGTAATGTTAAGATTGGTTTCTGGCATTCCATTCTTTTTGCCAGATAAGTACTCCAATATTTGATGCAAAAATCTGGGAGTTGGGAGTCAGGATTTCCATTGCGATGGCCCCACTGTGAATTATAGAATGCCACAGTTCTCTGTAGGAGAACTTCAGCTTCTAGTTATTTCTGTGTGTGTGATTGTTAGAAAAAGTGATAGAATGTGTTTGCATTTGCTAGAGACGTGAACATAAGCTTTTTGAGAGCTTATTGGAAATTCAAGACTACTTAAAAAGAGACTAATCACGGGTGGCTCTAGGCTACTAGCCATGAAGAGGATCAAATAAATGAGAATAAGTTTAAGCCTGTGACACTAAAGCCCAATTTTAAAGTTATATTCTGGTGCTTACATATTTTTTAACAAAGCACTGCATGCTACAGAGATAGTTTCTTGCACTGAAGGCTGTTCTCCTCAGGGGAAATTACTCCGTACAATCCTTTTTGGGGTGAAGAGAGTGACAGCCAATAACTTAGAGACCTTCATTTTTATCCTGTTCCTGCTGGTCTTTGCTGTGGCTGCTGCAGCATATGTCTGGATTGAAGGTGAGCTTTCTTCTTGCCTCTTCTAGCTCTCAATACAGAACTTTTACCAAAGCTTGTGGGAAGGCCAGTTGGCCTAATTGAAGAGTTGGAGCTGTTTTGGCTGATCTAGTGTTTCAGAGTTGCATTCTAGATGTTTTCTCATCCTGCAGGCACCAAGGACCCAAGCAGGAATCGTTACAAGCTCTTCCTGGAATGTACTTTAATACTGACTTCAGTTGTTCCACCTGAACTTCCCATTGAACTCTCTCTGGCTGTCAATACCTCTCTCATTGCCCTGGCCAAGCTCTGTAAGTACCAAGTCTACACACGGAAACAAAAATCTGCTTTTTGCATCTGGGACAGGAGAGACTTTGGCTGTGGAATAGCAGGAAGAGCTGCTGCAGCCTCCTTTGTTTCAAAAAGTTAACAATAACTCACATGGATGTTGTAGATGAGGTGTTTGAGGGGGATGTAAACCCCAAATACAAGAAAATAAAGGGAATGTACTCTGAAATAAGACCTAAATTAAGTGTATTAAGGAAGAGAGCTGAACAAAGATTTTGGCATGAGAGCTCTGATATCCACTCTGGCTTCAAATGCTACAAACGTAGAGACTGGAGGGTTTAGTGCTCATTAAAGAAACTGCTCGAGCAGAGCACCACGCTCATAGCCTCTGTGCTGTGAAACCCTGAGCATTCTGTCCTTGTTTTGTCCTAGCTGATCTGGATTTCCTCTCCTCTCTTTGCAGACGTGTACTGTACAGAACCCTTCCGAATCCCCTTTGCTGGCAAAGTGGAAGTTTGCTGCTTTGACAAAACTGGCACGTTGACCAGTGACCACCTTGTAGTGAGAGGAGTAGCTGGACTCAGGTGGGTGCTGGGGTATTTTCAGCATATTCAGTGATTTGCCCTGTTCTGAGCTTTGGGCTCTGTGGGAGCTCTTCAGATACAAGTAAAATTCCACTCCAGTGGGGAAAGAGGAAATAACCAGAGATTCAAAGAGAGAATGAAGTGGACTGACCCAGGAGAGGAAAGGTTTGCTGGTCCCTGTAGCAACAGCACTTAGAAGAAGAGTTAGTTGATGGCCTCAATACTTTTTTTATACTTTACTCAACTTTAATTGTGGGGAGGATTTCTCACCTAGGGTTTTTATGGGTATGAGATCTTTGTTGCCCACCTGTGCAGTAGCCTTCTGCCTTCTTGTTCCACTACTGTCAGACTCTCTTACAGAGACATCTCATGGTTGTTTGATGCCCTTTATTCAAATTGGATGTGGTTACACTTAACAGCTCTATTTTGAAAGTTGAACTTGAATAAAGTTTGCTCTGGAGGACTGACAAAAATCAATGGCTGTAACTCAGTTTGCAGTTTACACCGTGCCACGTTTCCTATAGCTTTGATGTTGCTACGAGAAGCTCCGCTGGTTACTATATTCGCCTTTTTTTCTTTTTCCAGGGGAAAATGTCCAGATTTTCTCCGAGATAATGTGAGCAGCCTCTCTGTTAACATGGACAGTCTTTTTGCCCTGCAGGGACGGGAAGGAGGTGACGCCGGTGTCCGACATTCCTGTGGAAACCCACCGAGCGATTGCCACGTGCCACTCACTTGTGCAGCTGGATGACGGGACGTTGGTGGGAGATCCGTTGGAGAAGGCAATGCTGATGGCTGTGGACTGGACCCTGACTAAAGGTAAAAGCAGTGGTTTTGATGATGATAACACTGCTTTGGTCAGTTCTTCCGAGCACAAAGTTACTGTGCTGTGGAGGTTTCCCATGCCCCGTGCCAGCGTTTTGCACGGAGTGCTTTTCATCTGGTACGATCCAGAACTGGTTTGGGGCAATGGAAACGCTTGCTCTGCATGTCTGAGGGACAGTAAATAGTGAACATCTATTCTCAAGGCAGCAAAGATACCACATTCTGCGCCTGGCAAGCGCAGGTTGGTGTCTTTTGGTTCACATTACGCAGATTCAGTAAAATGAGGGTGTGAGTAGCTGGTGCAGATTGCAGTACAGGAAACGTGACAGTGCAGGGTCCATGCACAGCCTCTGGGGAGGGTTTCTGTTCTGCTTCCTTGGCTTTAGCATCTGCAGAAAAGTAAGGTAAAAATATTCCCAGAGTATTTGAAACGTATCCCGTCGAAACTCATGTGTTCTTTACTCTGGATTTTTTACTTGAGATAATGAATACTATAAATGGACCTTTAGCCTCCTGCTTAGCTATTCAGACTGCTGTGCATATGTCACGTCCCGTAGTTTTTAGTAAGAGAATTCCAGCTTTGTATGATTGTGTCTAAGGAGAGGAGATTCATATGACCTCGGTGACCTGTGGGTTCCTTGTGACCCAAAGGGAGTGACGTTGCTTTTGATACCGAGAAACCTTTCAGGATTTCCTGATCTGTTTGTTTCCAGATGAGAAAGTTTTCCCCAGAAGTATTAAAACTCAGGGACTGAAAATTCACCAGCGCTTTCATTTTGCCAGTGCCCTGAAAAGAATGTCTGTCTTGGCGTCGTACGAGAAGATCGGCTCGACTGAGCTCTGTTACATTGCAGCTGTGAAAGGGGCCCCAGAGACGCTGCACAAAATGGTGAGCGTGGCTCTCGAGGAGATGTTAGATCCCTAGATGTTCCCTAACACACGTGCTCGTGCCCCCCAACCTCTGTATTCCCGAGTTTGGAGCCTGGATGATATGGGGAATTTTTTTCTCTGTGCAAAAGCAGCAGCAGCCCCTGCCTGCAAACAGACTCCACTGGGGATTTTCAGTTCAATCCCAGGGAAATGTGAATATTTAATCATATGAGTTCCAGCCCTGCTGCTTCTGCTGACAGCAGGAGGATGGTTATAGGATGGATCTGCTCTTCTGCCCTTGCTGGTGAGGGACCTTCCCAAAGCTGCTTCTTTCCCCCATCAGCCTAATTCATAGGAAATACTAAAACGTGCTACTGAATTGTGTGTGGAATTGTATTAATGTGACATTTCTCCCCTCACTTTTCTAGTTGTCTCACTGCCCGAGCAACTATCACGCTGTCCACACAGAAATTTCACACGAAGGGGCACGAGTACTAGCCCTTGGCTACAAAGAACTGGGGCATCTCACTCACCAACAGGTAAACCTGCAAAAAAGTTGCAATAACGACGTTACTTTTAAACCCTGACTCTTCGGGGAAGATTGCAGTTTCTGCATTCTGCCCCCAGCTGTGTCTACCCCATGCCACATTAATAGATACCTCTGTTTCCAAACCAAAGTCAGGTCTTCCCTTGCAGCAGCTGAAGAGGCTTCGCATCGAATTTGCCAGCTTTTGTGTAATGGGGGTGTGGAAACATTCCACAGGCTGCTTCTGCAGGGCTTTGTCCCAAAGCAGCCTCTATCCTAGAGCAGCTGGAGACAGCCCAGAATTGTTGGTTTTGTTTCCAAGCACCGATTGTGCTTCCCGTTGATGCTTTGCCTGCAAGGCTGCTCCACCAGCAAGGCAGGATTTTGGCTGTGGAGCAGCAGGTAACACTCCTTTGCTTTGGCAGGTGCGAGAGATGAAGCGGGAGGCTTTGGAGTGCCAGCTTCAGTTCGCCGGCTTCATCGTGGTTTCCTGTCCTCTCAAAGCTGATTCCAAATCAGTCATCAGGGAGATCCAAAACGCGTCGCACCACGTAAGTGTCAGCAGCACCTTAGCCCCTCTGTCAGCTGTTGCATGAGGAATGTGGAATTCCTGCCTTGTGGAGCAAGGAGTGAGAGGCTTCCCTGGCAGAAAGGTGCTGAGGCCTTTGGGATGTGATGTTATTTTTGCAGTAGGGTTTGCCTCGGTCCAGAGAAAAGCCTTTCTGAACAAGCTGCTGCCCAGAGCTGCATCTTACAGCAATTCCCTCTTTGTGGTGCACAGGAGGCTTGTTGTGGTGTAATGCTTGACTGCATGCAGCTGGTTTGACATCTCCTTCTCCCCACGCAGGTAGTGATGATAACAGGGGACAGTCCCCTCACTGCCTGCCACGTGGCCCGGGAGCTGCACTTCCTGCAGCGGGAGCACACGCTCATTCTGCAGCCTCCTACGAGCAAAGGTAACGGATCCCCTGCAGGAAAGAGGTTCTCTGTCTTGGGACAAAGCAGCCCCTTGCCACGAGCATGGCAGCTTGGTGCTGATAACAGAAGCGACTCACCTGCCTTCCAGAATCCTGCCTAACCCTCTCTTCTCTGGCTTTGAACCGTGTCTTTTCCTCTGAGAACTCCTAACCAAGCCAAATGTGCACCAAAATAAGAGCAGCCTCAAGGCCTCCTCCCTGTGGTGGGATCAGAGGCCGGAGCTGACATTGATTAGGTGGGAAGTGGGGGTGTCACAGCCCCTGCTCTGCTGTCCCTGCCGTATAAGTGGGCACCTCATGTCCATAACAACAGGGTTAGCAGATGCTGTGTGGCTCAAAGAGTGTTTTGTAAAACAATTCACTGCCTGTTGATGTTAAACCCATTCTGTTTTTTCCAGACTCCAGCTGGCAATGGGAATCCATCGACGGTGCTGTCACGCTGCCCGTCTTCCCAACGCCCCTGCGAGAGCTGACGCAGCAATATGACCTGTGTGTTACCGGGGAAGGGCTCTCTCACCTTCAGTCTGTGAACGGGCAGCAGCTGCTGAAACTCATCCCCCACATCCAGGTGTTTGCCAGAGTGGTCCCAAAGCAAAAGGTGAGAGATTTCAGCTCCTGGCAGATCCAAACTTTCCAGAGTTCCTTGTTTTGCTGCTGGCAGTTCTCCCGTTCAGGCTGCAGTGTATCAGAACACGGAGGCTGACAGTTCTGACTGGGCAAGTCTCGTTGCAGGAGTTTGTGATCACTACTTTGAAAAGTCTGGGCTACATCACGCTGATGTGTGGGGATGGAACCAATGATGTTGGAGCCCTGAAACATGCAGATGTGGGTGAGTCCAAATGCAGGATGCTTGCACGTGCCCCTGAGTTTGGTTAGTGCTCCTAAATACAAAGTTTGTGGTATTTTTGGGGGGCTAGAACTGGTTAAGATTGATCTAACCAAGCTCATCTGGTAGCAGAAAAACCTCCATAAAGCAGAAAGCTGCCTGTGCTGGTGAAATACTGGATGACTGCACCAGCAGGCAGCATGAATTGGCTGCCAACACAGAGATTTTTCCTAATTCTGAGCTTTCTCTTAGGAAATATAATGTGTCTGAGCTCCCATCTGGCTGTAGCTGGGATTTCTACCTGGTGAAAATGCTCTGCCAGCCCTTTGCCCTGCAGCTCGTGTTTTGTCCTCGCAGGGGTGGCCCTGCTGGCAAACGCTCCGGAGAGACTTCCCGAACGGAAGAGGAGACCTCGAGATGGCCCCGGGGACGCGCGGCCGGCTCCGCTGCCGGGGGGAAGCGGGAATGTGAAACCCACCTCCCGCGGTGCCAAGCACAGAGTCGTGTCCCAAAGAGAGGAACAACTGGCCGTGCAGAGGGTTGGTAACTACATCCTCCTGCGCCCATTCGCGGGGTTTCGAGGTTTTGAAAGCCACGTAACTGATCCTTGCTCCTCTTTCCTCCTCTGGTTTACTGTTAAGTCATGGGAACTGGAAATAGCAGGATGTACTGGGAGAAGACCAGCCTTCCTGGTTGCTGCCCTGCAGTGACAGAGTGGATTTGATTAGAGGAGGTGCTGCTTTTCCAGACAGCCATCAAGCTAATGCTCTAAGCCTGAAGGTTTCTCAGTCCCACCTTGGTGTGCAGAGGATGTTCTCTGAGCCCACGTTGTGATAACAGAGTGTGTTTCTTCCTCTTACTGACCTACAGGAGCGGATCAGTCAGGTCTTGAAGGATTTGGAAGAGGATCGTGTGCCGGTTGTGAAGCTGGGGGATGCCAGCATTGCAGCCCCCTTTACCTCCAAGCTCTCCTCCATTCAGTGCAGTAAGTGCATGGTGGGAGGCGAGCGGTTTGGGTGGATCTGCACGTGTTCAGATTCCCAAACAGATCAGCCTGGATCGAAAACGAGACACTCAGCTCATGGCTGTCACGTTTACGTGTGGAAAATGTGGGTTTCTCAGCTGGGGAGGATTTAGGCAGTGCGGGGCAATAGTCCCTCAACAAGAGAGAGGGACAAAACCCCAGGAAACGAGTTGTTTTGTTCACAAACGCTGTTTCCTCTTGCTCCTCAGTCTGCCACGTGATCAAGCAAGGTCGCTGCACGCTAGTGACCACCCTCCAGATGTTCAAGATCCTCGCCCTGAACGCCCTGATCCTCGCCTACAGCCAGAGCGTCCTCTATTTGGAAGGGGTGAAATTCAGTGATTTTCAGGCAACTCTGCAGGGCCTTCTCTTGGCTGGCTGCTTCCTTTTCATTTCCAGATCAAAGGTAAGGAGTGGGAAGCATGTTGGGACAATGGTCAATGCCCATCACACTGAGAAATAAAGCTCACGACAAATAGGGTCGAGTGTGAGATTTTTCTCTTTTTTTTAACCATTCTGTGCTTTTCCATTCTAGTCAACCCTCTTGTTTTTGTTTTTTGTTCCCAGCCTTTGAAGACGCTTTCCAAGGAGCGCCCACTGCCAAACATCTTTAACCTCTACACCGTCCTGACCGTGTTGCTGCAATTCCTTGTCCACTTCCTCAGCCTGGTCTATCTGTACCAAGGTGCCCAGGTGCGCAGCGAGGCCAAGTAAGTGCTACCCCAAAGTGGAAAGTGTTTTGGGTGTTACAAAGAACCCGGGAGTGCAATTCCCTGTTCTTGCAGCACCACTGATACCTGCACACGGGTGCTCTTTTTGTCAGGGCAGAGCTGCTGCTAATGATGGACACAAAGTTTGGGAGCAGCTGCTGTTGCCCCTGAGAACTCGAGTGTAGCTGAAGGGAGGGTTGGAGGGGTGATATAAAATCAGCTAAACTTTCCGGATGATTTTGTCGCTGGTCTATTGATCTCCAGCTCTGCTCCTTTCCAGGCGAGAGGAATTTGTGGATCTGTACAAGGAATTTGAGCCCAGTCTTGTGAACAGCACTGTTTACATCATGTCCATGGCAATGCAGATGGCCACGTTTGCTATCAACTACAAGGCAAGACATGTTTAAATCGCATCTCCAGTGGGACAGTTTTACACTTAATATGCAGCAGTGCTAAACATATTCTTCCCTAATCCCAAATTTGGTTTGTCAGGACTCTGTAGGGACAAGCCTCTGCTTTTTGCACCAAGTTGGGATGAGACAAGTGTCCCCAACCGTGTCATGGATTGCTGTGCATCCTCTGGGCTCGCCGTGTGCACAGCAGCAGCTCTATTCAGCTTCTCCCTTTGGCATTCCAGGGCCATCCCTTTATGGAAAGTCTCCAGGAGAACAAGCCCCTGCTGTGGAGCATCATCCTTTCAGGACTCGCCATCGTGGGCCTTCTCAGCGGCTCTTCCCCGGAATTCAACGAACAGTTTGGCTTGGTAGAAATCCCTACTGAGGTGAGCGAGCAGCATTCCCACGGGATCATGCAGGCACCAGCACCCATCCAGGCCCATGGGATTACACCCAGTGTTTCCATTGGGAAAACAAGAATATGTCCTGAGGAAATCCGGAGGAACCTCAAGGCTTTTAGCAGGATATAAGCCCTATGAAAATTCATATGTATAATTAGCTTTAAAAGCAGCAGTCTTGCTGAAGCATTGAGGTAACTGCAGCAAGGGCCCTAGTTTAGCAGGTGAATGTATATGACACTAGTGATTTAATGTATGTTGCTATCACAACGGAGGCTTTTGTTCTGCAGGGAGAGCATCATGGAACAAAGCTGGGGTGGAAAGGGACTAACGAGCTGTGTTTGTTTTCTAGTTTAAGATTGTGATCACTCAAGTGCTGCTGGCCGACTTCTTCCTCGCCTTGTTAGTGGACCGAATTCTTCAGTTTCTGCTGGGGAGTGCAAAGCTCAAAGTGCCTTCCTGAACCCAGGTCCACGCAGCGCTCCGAGCGGGACAGCACCCAGAGCCACGTTCCCACCTCACGAGATTCATCTTTATTCCTTGGACGGTGACTCTGATCCTGTGCAGGAGCAGGGATGGGGAATATTCCCCCTTATCACATGGAAACCACCTCTGTAGACCAATCAAGGCCGCTGATTTTTCACTGTTTCCAGGACACGCCACCACCTGGCGAGGGTTTTGTACTGCCCTACGCTTGAGGAAGCGTTTACAGAGTTTAAATCAAAAATCAATGTATTTTAAAACATGTTTGCAACTTCCTATGTGGGGTTCGAAGCTTTATGATGTTTTTAACAGGCCACTTAAGTGCAGGAGAAGAAAGGCAAAAACCAAAAAACCCTAAAGACAAAAGACTAGGCTGACTATAGTGTTTCAGTCACGTAACTGTATGTATAGTTACATATACGTATGTATATGTAAACTGCAGTGTTTCAGTCATGTAAGAATCCCTAAGCACTTTCTTGCAGGAGGTTAACGTTTCAAGTAGAACATAGGAGAACAAACACTGCCAAAAACATCTATACATTGACTTGTGCTGCAAGTTGAAGCTCTGTTTTTCAGAAACACTCCAAAAAAGGTTAAAAGAGAAACATTTATTTTCTCTCTAGGCAATTTTAGATTGTTGAGACTTTTTCAGGTCGTCAGAACTTCAGTCTGGGCAGCAGAAGCTGCATCCTCAAGGGCAGGCTCCAGAGCTAAGAAATGAGGCGGGCAGCTGCAGCCCTTTCAACCACAAAAGTATAGTCGTACTGAAAAGAAAAAACAAGAATATTCCAGAAATGGAAACACTGCCAGCATCCAGCCCAAAACATCCATGATCTGCCTACCTCTCTGTCAATCTCAGCAAGAGACTTAACAGTCACACCTGTAGCAACACCCTGAAAAAAAAAAGGCATTAAATGTTTGTCGTTGAGGTTAGGATTTGGGACAAACAACAGCATGGCAGCAGCTTACAGGAATACTCGCCCGCTTGCCAGGATTGATGCTGCTTTCAAATTTGGGGTGTAGTGTGAAGGGAATTCCATCCATCACTGAAAGGAAAAGAGAGCGTGGGTTTAGAGGAGAAAGAGCTTGACCCAGGGTATCAAAAAAGCCATTAAGGTAAGCGAGGGAAAAATAACCAAAGGAAAAATATCCCTCTAGGAACGTTGGTAACTGTTGAAAGGGAAGCAGTGTTGTCCGAGCGGCTCCCTTGGGAAGAAGTAACTCACCGGAGAGGGCAGAGGGGCTGGAAGCGTCGGCTGCAGGTGCCTGGAGGGGGACGGAGGTGCCTGGGGAGTCCTGGGGAGCCCCGGGCTTCCCTGGTGACCTGCAGCAGAGCAGAGGGCCTGAGGCTGCTGCCGGGGAGCCCCGGGAAGGGGGATAAGGAAGCGCCCGCTCCGTGGAGTCCCGGGAAGGACATGAGGAAGCAGCTGCTCCATGGAGTCCCGGGAAGGGGGACAAGGAAGCGCCCGCTCCGTGGAGTCCCGGGAAGGAGACAAGGAAGTGCCTGCTCCATGGAGTCCCGGGAAGGGGGACAAGGAAGCGCCCGCTCCGCGGAGTCCCGGGAAGGGGGATAAGGAACCACCTGCTCCGTGGAGTCCCAGGAAGGGGGACAAGGAAGCGCCCGCTCCGCGGAGTCCCGGGAAGGGGGATAAGGAACCACCTGCTCCGTGGAGTCCCAGGAAGGACATGAGGAAGCAGCTGCCCCATGGAGTCCCGGGAAGGGGGATAAGGAAGCGCCCGCTCCGTGGAGTCCCAGGAAGGACATGAGGAAGCAGCTGCCCCATGGAGTCCCGGGAAGGGGGATAAGGAAGCGCCCGCTCCGTGGAGTCCCAGGAAGGGGGACAAGGAAGCGCCCGCTCCGTGGAGTCCCGGGAAGGAGACAAGGAAGTGCCTGCTCCATGGAGTCCCGGGAAGGGGGACAAGGAAGCGCCCGCTCCGCGGAGTCCCGGGAAGGGGGATAAGGAACCACCTGCTCCGTGGAGTCCCAGGAAGGACATGAGGAAGCAGCTGCCCCATGGAGTCCCGGGAAGGGGGATAAGGAATGGAGTCTCGGGAAGGACATGAGGAAGCAGCTGCTCCATGGAGTCTCGGGAAGGAGGACAAGGAAGCGCCCGCTCCTCAGAGTCCCGGGAAGGACACGAGGAAGCGCCCGCTCCGTGGAGTCCCGGGAAAGGGGACAAGGAAGCGCCCGCTCCATGGGGTCTCGGGAAGGACATGAGGAAGCAGCTGCTCCATGGAGTCTCGGGAAGGACATGAGGAAGCAGCTGCTCCATGAAGTCCCAGAAAAGGGGAGACAAGGAAGCACCCGCTCCACGGAGCCCCAGGAGGGAGAGAAGGAAGCAGCTGCTCCACGGAGTCCCGGGACGGGGGAGACGAGGAAGCGCCCGCTCCAGGCTCATCCCGCTCCAGGCTCATCCCCCGCAGGTACCGCCCCCCGTCCCGGGAGCCCCGGGGGTGGCACCTACGTCCCGGCGCTCGATGCCGTCCGGGGGCGCGGGGGCGGCCTCGGCTGGGGGCTGAGGCTCCTGGGCGGCG